ACTCTGAAAAAAGAGATCAAGGAGGATATAAGAAAATGGAAAGACATCCCTTGTTCCTGGGTAGGAAGAACCAATATAGTGAAAATGGTCATACTTCCAAAACTGCTATATAGATTTAATGCAATGCCAATTGCAATTCCAACAGTATATTTCACAGGACTAGAGAAAACAATCCAAAAATTCATTTGGAACCAGAAGAGACACAGAATAGCAAAAGCAATTCTAGGCAACAGAGACATGGCAGGAGGTATCACAATCCCCCACTTGAAACTATACTACAAAGCTACTGTGATAAAAACAGCATGGTACTTGCAGAGATACACAGACCCGAGGATCAGTGGAATAGATTAGAAGATGCAGAAACAATTCCAGACATACTCAGCTACCCCATCTTTTTTTTTTTTGAGACAAGGTCTTTGCTACATAGTTAAGGCTGGACTTGAACTCAGTATGAGCCCAGGCTGGCCTCAAACCCATGGCAATCCTCCTGCCTCAGCCTCTGGAGTGCTGGAATTACAGGTGTGTGCCACCACACTGGCAGGATTATTCAAGATGTTTAAGTAGTCTTGGTTCAGTTTTGGTAATTCATATGTATCTAGGAATCTATCTTTTTCTTCTGGAGTCTCCAATTTCTTGGAGTATAAGATTGTGAAGTAATTGCTAATAATCTTCTGGATTGTTGCAGTGTCTGTTATGATTTCATTTGTTTCATTTCTAATTGTATTGATTTGTCTTTTCTTTCCTTTAGATATGATGCCTAAGGGTCTATATTTCAAAGAAGTAGCTCTTTGCTTCATTGATTCTTTGTATAGCTTTTAGTCTCTGTTTCATTAATTTTTGCTCGGATTTTTATAATTTCCTTCTTTGTGCTACCTCTGGATTTGGGTTGTTCTTGTTTTTCTCAATCCCATCTTTGACAAAGGGGCCAACCACCCTCACTGGAGGAAAGATAGCCTATTTAATAAATGGTGTTGGAAAAACTGGATTTCAACCTGCCAAAGACTAAAACTAGACCCATATCTATCACCATGCACTAAACTAAGATCAAAGTGGATTAAAGATCTAAATATTAAAACAGAAACACAACTTTCTGGAAGATAAGTTAGGTAGAACTCTTGAAGACACTGGCATAGGAAAAGACTTTATGAACAAAACCTCAGTAGCACGGGAACAAGCACAAAGAATCAACAACTGGGATCTCTCATCTTATTAAAAAGCTTTGGGCCAGGGATTTAGCTCAGTGGTTTCGTCGCCTGCTGTGCAAGTGGCAAGGACCCGAGTTCGATCCCCGGTACCAAAAAAAATAAAATAAAATAAAAAGACAAAAAGCTTCTGCACTGCAAGAGAAACCACCAACAGAGCTAAAAGACAACCTACAATGTGAGAAAAAAATTTTTAGCAGTTGTACCTCAGAAAAAGGATTACTATCTAGAATATATAAAGAACTAAAAAAAAATCAGACCACCCCCCCCAATTTAAAGACCCAATTCAAAAATGGGCATCTGAAATGAACAGACATTTCTCAGACAAAGAAGTAGAAATAGCAAATAAACATATTAAAAAATG